GACCCTAGTGAGGATTAAGGTGTAGAGATGATGGATGGATGGATGGATGGTTTCTCTTCCCACCAACACCATTATGATGCTCCCTGTTCTTTTCTCCACAGCTGGTAAATCCACCTTCTTCCATGCTCACGTTATTCCGAAGGGCTACGTCTACGTCAACAGGGTGAGTGGATCGTATGTGAGCAGTCGGTTCAACGCCAAACTCCCCAGAACATCTGGTTTTATACAACAGCATTGATGTCATCAGATAGAGATGATTGTCATTGTGAGTGTCTTCTGTCTGCTACTGGGCCTTCTGCCTTTGTTTCTGTATCAGGACACTCTTGGTTCCTGGCAGAACTGTGTGTCGGCATGCCAACGGGCTCTGAACGAGGGCCGCAGTGTCGCCATCGACAACACCAACCCAGACCCGGAGTCTCGTAAACGGTAACGCACAGCTGTACATGTGTGTGAGTGTGTGTCTGTTTGCTCATACACTCAGGATCCACCTCAGTGGGTACAGCGCCATGCAAACACAGTTCAAGATCGTAATGTCTAACGTGCTGATGGACGATGACTGTGTTTCTCATTTGACAGCTGCGAACAGAAAAATGATTCAAATAGGTATAATAGGCAGGTATAATCTTCCAGAGGGATCCTTTACTGCAGTGAAAGTACGAACACCACAATGTAAAAATAGCCCGTTAAATCTAAAAATCCTGCATTTATAGTAAAAGTATGTAAGTGTAATCAAGGAAATGCTGCTAATTTATTGAAAATAAAAGCACTCAGTGCAGAAAGATATTCCCTGTGACCATAACTTGTAAGGATCACGAGCTTCCAGTGACTTCTATAAGTCTTAATTTTCTGTGGTGGAATCATTGAAGCACCTTTGTCACATTACACAATCATGCATTTTGATTCTTTCTTAGATTTATTAAAGGTCTTTTGGAAATATTAGAAAATCTGCTGGTTTAGAAATATACACAAAGCGCTGCCTGTCTTTTTAGCTGTTTACACACTGTCGGGCACTTCAACACATTTTGATGTGAACAGTAACTATAATTTTCAGATAACTGAAGCAAAAAGTTTAATGTTTTCCTCTTAAATGTGGAATTCAAAAAGACTAAAGAATTACCTCAAATTAGCACTAAAGTACACTACTTAAATACATGTACTTGGCTATAGTCCACCACTGATTGACTGAACAATTTATTTTGCACCAAAGGTTTCTGTTGCCGTGGTTACGATGTACTGCAGTAACTGGATGTGTTATTCTCAGATATAACAAAGGCTGAGATAGAAGAGGCTGTAAAATCAAGTCACTGCTCTTCGTACCTTATTTAATAGAAAAGGAAATGTAATGTAGACATGTTGCTATGGTGATATTCCTAAATTTAAAAAAAGAATGGTGTTATTTATTTGAATAAAATGAACTTTTTACAACCCAACAGGTTCGATCATAAGGTTTTTAATGACTTAATTTCTCCATCAGTCTAAATATTGTGCGTCATGATCCTGCTGCTGTTTTAAGTTTTGTGTCACCAGTAGTCTGTGCGTGTTCGCAGATACGTGGACGTGGCAAAGGCAGCCGGAGTGACTTGCCGCTGCTTCCACTTCACCGCCTCTATGGAGCAGGCCAAGCACAACAACAGAGTACGACTCACCTCTCTATGCCTGCCGTTAGTTTCATCCTGGCGATGACGCTTGTGTGTTTTTTAATGCGACATTGTTGTTCACAGTTCAGGGAGATGGTTCCATCGGACACCAAACACGCCAAGGTCAACGACATGGTTTTCTACGGCTACAGGTAAACCACCTGGTCACATCTTCACAACCTGCAGATTCATCTTTGCTACACGGATCATTCTGATTTCTGTTAATAAAACCGTGTCACAGTGACCGTTCTCACCACTCTGCTCCGTCTCTCTCTCTCTGGACAGGAAGAACTTTGTGGCTCCTGCTCTCTCCGAAGGATTCTCTGAGATCCTCCAAATCAACTTTGTGCCAAACTTCAAAGACAGCCAATCAGAAACCTTGTTCAGACAGTTTTCTGAGGGCTGACTGGACACCGCTTTTTAAAGAAGGAACAAGTCAGCAGATGCCAACACGTTTTTGTTTTTTTGTTTATTTCAGCTGATACACTGTCTGCTGCATTAGCCGATATCTGTGTCACCGCTCTGTCTGACTAATTTCCTGTACCTACACCGTCTCCACGGTTACGCTAACTAGACTTTTGCAAGAAACCATGCACATGAGTGTACAGATGTAGTTTTGTTCAGCATGTAGGAGTAAAAAAATGAAATGGAAAAAGCAAGTAAGAATATCTTTTATACTGTACGTTGTGTGTGATTTACTGCACTGCTGCTGCTCTAAACACTGTCACTCAGTTAGACAATAAAGCTTTGAAATCTACCCACGGTCACTTCTTTTTTGATTCAAAGTCTGCAGACGGGTTCTGGATCCACTCAGTTGATCTCTGGCAGGAACTGAATCTCATTGCCCAGGTGCTTTTTGAGCCACGGCATTATCTTGAAGAGGTCGATGTGAAAGTCCCGAGCCTCAGGAGGCGGCTTATTGCTGCTGTATCCTAGAGCGCACACATCCATGATGCCCCAGCTCAACACCCCCACCTGCAGGGGAAAGCAGGACAAACATGCATCGGATGGTGACTGCACAGTGCAAGAAAAGGCACTCAGCAAAACTGACCTGAAAGTAGCGCTTTCTCTTTTGCAGAAACAGGGATCCACCAGAGTCACCTACACAAAAAGAGACGTGTAACTGTTAGGTGAATTGGCCCAGATTGGTAAGACTGCATCCAGGAAGTGCAGAGTCCAGACCTTTGCAGGCGATAGCGTCCTTGTATCCCGCGGTGCCTCCAGTGCAGAGGAATGTGTCCGGTACATACTCGTCCAAAGTCACATCTGTGGGCTCTTTAAGTGTTCTCCTGGCCTTCTCCACGCAGTCGGGCCTCTGTAGAGCAGCAAAGAATACGCTGTAACCGGTTTATAATCATTCACTCATTATAAGCATAAAAGCTAAATCAGCTCTCACCTGATTCTCTGTGTGAATGTGTGTCTCTTTGCGTTCCGACTGACTGACGGATTTCTTATGGATGAAAAAGGCAGAAGTCTCCTTGTGTGCCAGTAGTTCCTTCTCTGGTAACGAACATCAAATTCACTCAGAATCCAGTTCAAGTTAATATCAATAACCCTTTGCTCACATTAAAAAAAAAAAAAGGAAATCCTGAATCCTCATCACAAAACACACTCTTGTTTCATTTAGGTCACATACTGTGCTCGTCACAGGTGGAGTTGAGCTTCCTCATGGCCCGGGAGCCCGGTACGGTACACGGCAAGCAGATGGGTCTGTTGTACAAAAGACATGACATGAGTTTTCTTCACAGGAGAGGAATACAAGAATACACAGTTGGCACATAAACCTCTCTTATAAGAAATATTTGTTAAGCTTGTAAATGGGGCAGACATCTAACGTAGCTGTTTAGTTACAATTAAAGGAAGTGTCTCAGTGAGGAGTCGGATCTCCGTGTGCTGCCAGAACAGCGTCGGTGCTACTTGGGATTGATTCTCTGAGCTGTACTGGAGGGATGAACAGATACTCCCTCTTTAGTGTTGTAATGATGGAGTTGGAGAGCACTCTTTATGACGCTGATTTCAGGTGTTGAGCTACGCTGAGGTCTGGAGACTGTGAAGGCCACAACCTGGGATTCACATCAGTCTTTATCAGATCATTCAGTGACCGCTCGTGTTCCACAAATGGGGACTTTGTCATCCTGAAAGGGACCATCAGGACTGAAATGTTTATCATAGGAGAGGGACAAGTGGGCCGAAGCATGCCAGCATAGTTCACCCTACAGCACCAGAACCAGTAGAGCCCGTCACTCTAGGAGCAGAGGGTTCATGTGTTTCCTGTATTTTATCACCAGTCTGTCCCGGCATCCCTGGTGGTTTCTTTGGTGTGTCTTACCGGGCCTTCCAGGAGAGCGGGATGCTGCTGTTCACCTGTACCAGAGCCACATCATACTCATAGAACTCAGACACGTTTCTGTGTTTCAGTGTGTTGATGTTGTACGCGGGGTGCATGATGATTCTCTTGAACATCACCACGCCGCCACCTGGGAACCAAAGAAACAACCGGTTAACATCTGCCTTTCTACTGAATGTAGTCGTGTGGTGGAGTTTATGATTTTGTCCCTACAAGGATGCTTTATGATAGCAATGTGCAATTAAAATCAGGTGTCTGCATTAGAATGGACTTGAGCAGCGTCCAACCGTTCAACCTCCTGGATATTCCAGTCTGTACATTTCTCTCCTACATCTCTGAAATATGTATTCCGTCGTAACACTCACCGTACTCGATGTCCAGTTGCGTTGGGACTCTGCCTTTGCTCTCTCTGGCAAAGCAGTGAGCAGCTGTCAGCACCCAGTTCGGGCTCACAATGGATCCGAAACAGGACTTTTCAGGCCCCCATTCAGACTACAGGGGGAAGAGTGTTGATGTGTGAAAATCAACTTAATATATCAAAAAGAAAAAAAAAATCTCTATTGTGCTTTTAGTGAGAGTGTGGAGGGCTCGTACTGATTTCAGAGCCACGTGCCAGGGCTGGGTGTAGGCCGCTGAGTGCTTGGAGACGACTTCCTGAGCGATTCCACACATCGTCACACTCTGGTCACCTGTTTTATCAATGGTTGTACATCAGGAACTAAACACGCTATTTTACTTTCATGTTGAAAGATGTGCTAAATGATGGTTCTGTGCCTTAAAGCTGAGCTCCTACTCACTGATGATGCTGTTGAACACCCTTCCCAGCATTTTGTAGTTTTTCAGAATGAACAAATGCTGCTCGCTGGGTTTCTTTGAAGCCAAAGAGTTCAACTCTTTTTTGTTGACTTTCTCCCCGATGCCAAACACATAGATGTCTGAAAACACACACAAAAATGCACACTGTACACACACTAGACCTCTGCATGCATGATTTGTCATGTCTGTCAAGTTTCTGTTTTGTATGCACGTTTTATGTCTTATCTTTCCTGTTTTATTTTGACGTCACTTCACTAGTTTCTGTCTCAGCTTTAATTCCTGCACCTGTCTTGTCTCACCTGTTCCCTGATTACCTCCCCGCACCTGTTTCCCATCTCCCCTCATTACCTCGTGTATATTACCCTGTGTGTCTCACTGTCTCGTCGCCAGTTCGTCGCACTTTCACAGTCTTCGTACCAGCGTTTACCAAGTCACAGTCTGTTTGTTACGGCCTTGCTTCTGTTTTTGGACCTTGCCTTTTGCCTCTTGATTTTTGGATACCTCTGACTGACCTTCTGTGTACCGAACCCTGAACAGTAATAAACCTGCCTTGTTGCCTGAACCTCTTCTGTGTCGAGCATTTGTGTCCAGTCACTCTGTTCTGTGTGAGTTCATGACATGATTTCTTATTGCCTGTAACCGGTGATGCAGTTGCACTCAGTAAAAGCAGATTTAACACTAAAATGTACACTGTTCACAATCATTTGAAGTTAGATATTTCATTGAGTTGGTACCGAGCATCGTCTCCAGTGCGTGATCGTCGAGTGAGTCCTTGTAGCCCAGCAAGTGGCGGATCCGAGCCAGAGCGATCTGAGGCCGGATCCCTGTGTTGGAGTGGCCTGCAGGCAGAAGACATCAGGAGAGACTGGATGGTAATTCTAAAATTAAATGCGTGCGTTTGTGAGACTATCCTCGTGCTCTTTTACCGTCTGTTTCTATGATGATGATGTTCTGAGTCTCATTGAAGTGGTTGGTGGCGCTGTTTTGCTTCAAGTAGTTGATCTCCTCGCTGACACTGTGCAGCGCAGAGTAGAGGTTGGTGCCCGTCTTACGCCCGTGGCCTGCACATGGACAAAACACTGAGTAAAGTAACCTGACAGATCACTTATTTAACCGTTGAGAATCGTGATTAACGACACTGACTCGGGCGTACTTGAAGACATCACCCTGCAGCAGGTAAAAGACAGTCAGTGAAAGAAAGAAGGAGCAATAAGCAAAGTCCTACTGTGGTAGTCGAACTGCATCAGATACCATATGACGTCCTCGGCGCTACTGCTTGTGTCCGTGTCCGAGATGTTCACAATGTTTTTAGTCTCGCTGGCAAACGACACCACGTGGAAGTTCATCTGTACGTCGTAGCTGTCCAGCTGGAGAGGAAATGAAAAAGACACGTAGGTTTCACAACCGCCGAACTGCTTTATTTTGAAGCTCAGTCTTTGGCACATGAAATCACTGGGTACAGACCTTTCTGATCAGAGCAACGGTGGCGTCTCTGGACAGTTCAAAGTCCTCCTTCCTGATGCTTCCAGATGTGTCCAGGAGAATGTAGACGTTCATACGACTGCCTTCAGACACTTGGAAGGTTCGGCCAAAGGTTGTGCCCTCATCTTACGCACACAATGTAGATTTTTAACTTAGCAGATGATTTGTAGAGCAACTTTTTATACATCCACAGTGTTTATACATTTATTTATTTTTCAGTTTTTTTTATTTTTGCTTTTTAACTTTTAATCATGATAAATTTGTTTTTGTTTGTTTTGTTTTTTTTTGACAGAAATGAACAAAAAAACAGATTCTTTCATGGTAAAGTGAAAACAGATTCCAACAAAGTAATGTCAAATAATTTAAAATGCAAAATAAGTGACTGCATTAGTATTTGTTCACTTCCAGTCAGTGTTTAGCAGATGCATCTATGGACACGTCTCAATCAGCCTTGCACATCTGGACACTGCAATATTTTTCTTCATTCTTTAATTCAATTCAATTTTATTTATATAGCACTAATTTACAACATGTGTCATCTTCACATGGTCAGGTGAAGGCCTTGTGAATTTTAAACAAAGGAGAGAACCCAACGATCCAAAGCCGTTTTCGGATTCCCTCAGAACAAGCAGTCGGCCACTTTCACTGAGCTGTGTGACTTCTGTGTTGAAACAGGTGAGTCGCTCTGAAGGGGTTATATCCAATACTTGTGTGATCATTTGTTTCATTCTTTAAATAACTGACATTGCTTTGTAGAAATCAACAAGTGGGAAAACTCCCAGGGAGGGTGAGCACTAATACCAACCTTTCTTTTTGGAGTCTGGTGAGAGTACGTCCATCAACCCTGCCAGTGATTCTGCCATGGCTGCAGCCACTCTACTAGGAGAGTCAAAGGAGTGTGGGCCTGCAGTAAAGCACAAAACCACTGAAGCATGAGGGTTTATTCAAAATATAACAGATGTCTATGTTCTGATGGTGCGCTGCTTTGATGCCGTGCAGCAGCAGGTTGTGTCAGAAGAAACCATCCATGTTTCAGCAGCTCAGCCCAGTTATCTGTTCTGGTCTTAGGAGTAGTTTCTTAAACCTAAACTTGACACACCTTGGCACCGCGGTGCCGAGCCGCTCCACTCCCTGTTCTCCAGGCAAACCCTCTCAGCTGAGCCGAGCAGGTCCAGACCAGCCTGGCACTGGTAAATCACCTTCTCTCCGGTGTGAAAGCGGCCAGCTGACCTCTGGGCTCCGGGCGGGACTCCTGGATCGCTGCAGTCGTCCGCTGCGTTCAAAAAGTAGTTCTTGTTTTAAACATTTTTAAAGAAGATTTGTGCTTCTAAAATGTTCAGATCTTTATTTATCATGAAAGATGATTAATGAGGTGTTTTTAGTCACCAAAACCTACTGTATGCATCTGTCCTGAAAATGTGTTTATAGGATTTATGTTTTACTGTTTATTTATCAAAAGCTGCTTTTCAATACAAACCTCAGCAAGTATGAAGAACTGGGAGCAGGCTCTCATGTCAGTGGATATCATCTTAATTATTCTCTATTCCACTGATGTTAAATGGCAAACTACAGACACACGTCACTCACAGACTGCATCATGAGTACGTGATGCTGTGTGTCCTCACCGTGGTTGTCACAGACCGGAGTGGCTCCCGTCCACTCCCCAGAGTCGGTGCAGTTCCTCTCTGCCGACCCCTGCAGGGTGAACCCTTCCTGGCAGGAGAAGCTCTGCGTCGCCCCAACACGGAACCACTGCTCTCTGGGCCAGAAGTCCCCGTTGTCCAGCTGGAGCTGAGCAGGACACAACACATCTGGATGCAACGGAGAGACAGATGTACAAACGATGGAGGAGGACGACGCAGATCACAACAATGCTTCTGTGCATGAGACTGAAGGGATCATCATTCAGAACATTACCTTTGCATCTGGCGCTGGACACAGGTCTGCCGTTGGCCAACCTCATGGCGGACCACTGGCCATCAGCACCGCAGGCCCTGGAGCTGACTGGGAATGGGTACTGGCCCGGGCCACAGTGGTAGGTCAGCACGCTGCCCTCCAGGCCTCCCTGAGCAGGAAACATGCTCAAGTAACACAAAGCTTTCTGGTAAAGACATGCTTGTGTTGCTTCTCTTTTCCAGGCCTTTTAGTTATAATGAAGTCGGTGTTGTCAGCTTCCATACATGCTTTACACTTTGATGACTTTATCACTGCTATGAATATGAAATGCTGTTTTTCACTTCCTTCTTCCCTGTTTTTGGTCCCAGTCATCTCGGCTACTTTGGAGTGTTTAAAGACCCCTCTGTCACTAAATCAGGTCAGGGGTTAAACCAACGACCAGAGAGGAACTTTAAATTAGGCAACAGGAAGCTTTCCAGTAAAGATATTTTTATGCTGTTTCACTTCTAGGCCGTCCAGTTCCTCTTTGCTCAGACCAGAACATGACCTCCGGCTGGCCCTAAACACCTCTAAACGCACTATCGAACCAGACAGCTGCTCTAGATGGCATCGCCTTGGCCTCCGGTTCTACTGTAAAGAACCTTGGAGTTATTTTTTACCAGGACATGTCGTTCAGTAGCCATGTAAAGCAAGTTTGTAGGACGGCCTTCTTTCATTTTCTGTAAAATTTAGGAACATCCTGTCTCAGAGTGATGCTGAGAAACTATAACTTCTAGACTGGACTATTGTAATTCCGTATTATCAGGATAACTCTCTCAAAAACCTTCAAATGCTGCAGCCAGGGTTCTGACAGGAACCAGTAACAGAGATCATATTTCTCCCGTATTAGCTTCTCTTCATTGGCTCCCTGTAAAATCCAGGAAAGAATTTAAAATCCTGCTTTTAACATATTAAACTCTTAATGACCAGCTTCCATCTTATCTTAAAGACCTTATTGTGTCGTATCATCCTAACAGTAGCACTCCTGTACTTTACCATGTTAAGTGCTGTGAGATGGCATGTGTTGAAAACTGACTGTAAGACTTCCAGAGTTAGTATTTAGAACCTTATATACATAATGCATGACTGACTTTGTCTATTTATTCTGCTAAACAAGAATCCTATCATTTGCTAATATTTTAATTCAGATTTAATACATGAGAAACAACACACACACATAAACATAAAGTGTCACCTCAAAGCTTTAACCTCTCATCCTGACTGGTGGATATAAACAGTGAAGGTGTACAGAATGTTTTTTACCTGAGAGTAGGTGACATGTCCATCTTTGATGCTCTCTGTGACCGAGCAGTTCAGAGGCTGCGGATTCTCGTGAACATCATCCTCATAGTTGTAGTCGTAATCCTGCAGAGACGCTGGAGAACACAAACAGCTCATATGGCACCAATCCACATAAATCTGACAAAATCAAAAGCACCTAAAAGTGAAATGCTCACCCTCCTGGATGAAAACGAAGAGCAGGATCCCCAGTAAAGGCTTGACATACATGACCAGACTCTGTAGCTGCTGGGTTTTGGCCTCTAAGTGACAGAAACTCCAGCAAGAGTGTCTGTATCGACCAGTAGTCGGCAGTTTTATTTGGAGACTGACTACCCATTAACACAGCAGCACCAAACAAGGAGGGAAGGCTTGAGCAACGTAGGACAGAGCATTGATTTATACTCGCACTTTCGTTTTTTGGTGTCTGCTTCTCGTAACTCAGGTGTCTTTTTGTTGACACATCACAAAACTCAGCCAAGAGTGGTCTCTAAAGCTTTTTATTACACTCGACCAGCTTTGGGGAACTACTCACAATCTCTTTAGCACTTAATCTTGCTAGAATTCACTATTTCCACTCCTCCACTGTTGTTGTTGTTTTGATGCCAAATCAGCCTGAATTATTGCTAAATCATTTCTGTGCCAGCGTTTTTGGGGTTTCGTGGCTCCACAAGTTTATTTGCGCTGGTGTGTTTGTGCACCTGCTCACGCTGGCTGTGCGTTTTTCAATGAAGCATTTTAGGAGCTTAAACAATCATTATGGGGATTATTGAGGTTTAACATGGACCCCGACCTCCACCTCCACCTCCACCTCTCCTCTGTTCTCCCTCCTCCTCAGGGCTCAGTCCTCTCAGCTGACTCGGCTTTGTGCAGCACTGTGAAGGAGTTTCTAAAACTCTTTTGTAACCAGTCACACACATCCAAAAAACCAGAGAAATACGGGTCGATGCTCTTTGTGCTAAAAGGAGAAAAAATAGCAGCAAATGTGGATATTTTGAGTCTAAAACTAGTTGTTTTGAACGCTATTGTGCTGTGATATTTCACTTTTGTCTGGATTATGTTGACGGATTTCCAACAAAGGACTGTGTTGTGCTGGAACATTGAAGGCTGCGTGATTTCACAGCTACACCGGAGGCTTACAGTTGGTGGAAAAACTGAACAATGATAAGAAAAGTCAGGAAAATATCTTTAAAATTCCCTCACAGAAAAACAGCTCTCTTCACAATATCGTCTCGGATGCTTTCATCACAACATCGGACCGTCTGAGAAGAGGAGTGCTGACCCGAGTCCCTCGTCTTTCTCTGGGAGAGGACCAAAAATGTCCGACCTCAGCCAAGTCGCTGTGTACTCAGACTCTTCAGACATTTATAAGGTAAGCAGCAAAGGTAAAATTAAAGAATGAATACATAAATGTTTTGAATGATGCTGGTTTTGATTGTAATTTGACATTCAGCTTAATCCCAAGCTATATGAAACTCCTCTTCAGCCAGTTTTGCTTGTGCAGGCCTTCATGGTCACAGTCTGGATTACCAAAGAGGACAAATGCTCTGGCGCTCCAGATTTACATTTCTACACTTGGATTGTGAAACTTTGTGGAGAGCTCCCACATCAGAATTTAGTTTCACGTCCTTTTTGGTCTGACACAACAATTCCATCTCGATGCTTCTTACAAGCTTTTTTCCAGAGCTTTCAGTCGTTACCAGGAGACTGATCAGCTGAAACAGAGACGGATGTTGAAGTGCAAAGACTGTTTGTGACATTGACACCGTGCAATAAGGTTAAAGGCACGACTAGAAAGTGACTGTGAGCTGGGATTGTTTGGTAAACCTATATATCTAAGGTCAATACCGATATTCCATGCTGATGTTTGTGTATTTTTTACATGTTTTCCAGTGTTGCAGGTTCTAAGTATCTAAGTATAAGATATGTATTTAGAAGTCTATGTTTCTATAAAAAACAATCCCTTGCTACCTCAAAATGGCCTCGATGTAACGCTACACTCTTGCTCTCGCTGAAATGTGTGGATGTCTAAAGTCTCTGTCTGTATCTGGAGCACACCAGCTCACATCTGCTTTAACACTAAACCACACCACACACTAAGTCCCACCATGCAAGTGGGCAGGATTAGGTCTTTAAGTTTCTTACATATGAAACCCTGACTGTGTGAATCCATGTTTTACAGACTGCCATCAGCACCATGCAGCTACGCAGCAGAAAAAAGCTGTTTGCCCCATGATGTGTCCTTAGTCAGGCTATATTCACAATTATTGCCACAATCGTGCCTTTAGTTTGGGCCATGTGTTGTTTTTACAGAGCCCATTTCTCCTATTTGCACATTCTGTAGATATAACTACGACTACTCAGCATTCAAAGCCAACAATTACTCAACGACAGCGTGATGATTTCAAAGCTGTTCAAATGACTGCATGTGTGTTTATGAAATCATCTGAATAAGGAAGAACATGATGTTTTTTTTCCTTTAAAAAGTTATACTATATTGGGTAAATATGTGAGTTTTTATTTAACTTCTAGTTGCTCCTTTGTATTTCTGTTTTTCCTGATTTCCTTCTCACAGAATGTCTTCTGTAACCCGGCCTTCGAGCTGGAGGGGGAGCGCGAGGAGAGGGTGGAGGGATTCAGGACAACCTCTTCCACCCCTGAACCAATCAAACCACCGGCAGCTGGTCAGTCAGCCAATCAGCTTGCTGTTTCCCGTTTCATCAATTAAAGTCAACTGGCTATAAGTTAAACTGTCCTCTAGCATGTTAACGATGGGGATCACGGTTCCCTGTAATTATACAGATTAAAGCTGCAGTTGTGCATAAATGTTGGTCCTAGTCAGGCTGTGAAAAGAGTGTAATCAATGTGTTCTGGAGCTCTGGGGGTGATGTGTTAATAAGACTAAATAACCCTGATGATGGCACGGTGGTGTCACTCAGTTTGACCATGGAAACTATAAACTTGTAACAGAAGATCTGCTTTAAACCAAATACGTGAAAGACGTGAGTGTTTACCAGCAGCAGATTACTGAATGGATAACACTGCACACAGCAGATCTTCAGATCCTGTGGTTTAGGAGTCTCTCTCACCCTTACAACTAGAAGTATCTTAATCTCTGCTGCTTCAATTATGAAAAAAATGATTACGCAATGACTGCTAGATATAATCTGGTTGCAAAACCTGGGCATAGTCCACACGGCTATCTTTAGCTTTCATGTTGTGTCATTGTGAGAGAGGAGGAAAAATCACTGACAGTGCTTGGATGACATTTAAAGAACAGTTGGATGTTAAAAGAAGAAAAGGCAAAATTAAAATGTACAAACATCCAGTTAATCAAAGAGTTCAAATCTGTAAAATCTATAAATGTTCCCCCATGAGAACATGCATGTATGAACAGTGTTTGTGTTCTACTTCAGGCCTCGGTCGGGGTCTGTTTGGGGTGTGTGTGATGCGTCTGCGGGGCCCTGACGGAGGCTGGGGGCTGGTGGTGGTCTCTGCTGCCGCCCTGCTCCTGTTAGCAGCGCTCGGACTGGCGCTGGCCCTCATTCTGACACGTGAGTCCCTGCTGCAGTCAGGACGAAAACGATTCACTACCGACTGATTTTATTAACACGGATTACACACTTTTAACTGTTCCTATATGGGATCCTAAGTGCTTGAGTAGGAAACTGGACTCCTTGTTGGTCCTTAAAGACACGGACGTGACTCAAGACATGTCAGTTTACTAAAACTCACATGACTCAAGGCTCGTTAACGACCTGATGCTCATGATGGTTTTCTTACCTCCTCTCTCAAACCAAAGAGGAGTGGAAGGAGCTCATTTGTGTTTAGCTGGAACACCAATCTCTAAACAGGGTCTACAACTCCACTCATCACGCACTGATAATGCAGTCCTGGCTTCCCTCCCCAGGCAGTTTCAGCACCGTTCACATCTTGAGTCATGTGAGTTGGGGTGAGAATAAATACCTGGTACTCCCCACGCACCAGTTACAACTGGATGAAAGATCAAACGTCCCTGAAGCACTTAAGATTTTCATATTTATTTTATTTTTTATTATGATTACTTTATGTATTTATCTATACATTTTAGTTTATTCTATCCTTTATCACTTCCCTTTTTTATAATCAAAGAGTTCATTTGCAAAAACAGAGAACTCCATCTTCACAAACCTTCAGAAAACACACTTTTCCAGAGCTGCTGCTATAGCTCAACAAGCTGAGCTGATGACGCATGTACAGGGGTTATAATCCCTGATGCTGTGGGTTCGAATCCTGCTCATGGCCCTTTGCTGCAGGTCCTTCTCCCCACTTTCCTGTCTCTCTCATCACTGTCCTATGCAAAAAAAGGCCAAAAAAAAATAACTTTAAAAAAAGAGAAAAACAACTTTTCCATCATCTGAAAATCTACAAAAATGGAGTTATGTGTTTTTGCAAATGAACTCTTCAATTGTCTTCTTTTACTTTCTTTTACTTTTACTATTTGCATTTATTTATGACAGTCTTTCCTCACTTCCTCGGTCTTTGCTGTTCCTGAGCCCTGATGGAGGCCTGTGAAGCACTTTGTGTTTCCGTCTATTTGTATTAAAAGTGCTGTACAAATAAAGTCTGTTTGATTGATTGACTGCCTGATACCATGACCTGGATGACACAGAGAGGCTCCTATTTGTGATTTCAGAAGAAAACTCGTATTCTAAAGCTCCACTGTTGATGTTGTTGTTTCCTCACTTAGAGCTAAAGGGTCAGGCCGTGGAGAATCAGCTGCTGTCCACCATCCCGCCAGACCTGCATAGCGCTGGTGATGGAGCGTCCCACGCTTCACCCACAGTTCCTGCCAACAGAAGCCGAGGGGACAGTACAGCTGCACCACAGCCTGCCAGGATCCCTCCATCTGAAACAAGTCTGTCTCTCCTCACCCACCTCTAAAGTTGCTTTTCCCTCATCTAGAGGCCTTCTCTTTTTTCTTTACCTGAGACAGAGTGTCCCTTCCTGCCTCTCAGGTTGTGGCGGCGTTCTGACGGACCCAGAAGGCAGCTTCAGCTCACCAAACCACCCGGGCTCCTACCCCTCGAACTCGCTGTGTGTGTGGGTGATCCGGGTCCCTCCTCCCTCCGTGGTCCAGGTTCACGTGTCCTCCTTGAACGTGGAGGGGCCTTCTCCTTGTCTGTTCGACTGGCTGGAGGTGCAGGAACAGGTCGAGCAGAGTTCTGTGGTCACCAGGTTGGTCCGGTCCCACTGATGACGAAAAAGAAGCTTATTTTCTTCCTTTTTTTTCCTCATTTGCACAAGCAACATTTTTACGTTGAACATTATGTCATTACCTTAAGCTGTTGCTAGATGGCGCTAAAGGTCCATGCATAATAAAATAGCACCTCTAGGCGCTGGACACTTCCTGGAAAGATTACATACTTTGGCCTTTTTGCTTACTTGCTTACATTCTTGGAAAGTGTGGTAACATGATTCATGAAATTCTACAAATGTTGCACAACTCCAGCTCACTAATGCGTTTAAGAATTCAGATCTGCAATGTTCAGACTCAAAGTTCAGTTCAAAGCTGGAACAGAGTGAAAGAAACAGAGACTATTGAAATAAATGTTTCCCTCCTGCAGGTTCTGTGGAAACGCAGCACCACCAACAGTCAACACAAACAGCAGCACGGTGTGGGTCACCTTCCGCTCCGACGGCAGCATCTCAGGCAACGGCTTCACTGCACAGTACAGGGCTGTTCTGCCTGGACACAGTCAGTAGCCTGCGTCTGGAAGCACATCAACACTCATGTCTGTTTGCATCTATCTGCATGAGTCTGCTGTGTTTTCTCAGAGAGCTGCTCCAGGGAAGAGTTCATGTGTGACAGCGGTCGCTGCCTGCTGCCTGTGTCGGTCTGCGACGGCCATCCAAACTGCCACGACCAAACAGACGAGGCCAACTGCAGCCACAAAAACAAGGGTGAGAGCAACAAGTCAGACCCAATGAAGAAGGCCAAAAGACGCAAGAGTGACCTCACGGGCATTGTTTCTTCTCTGCTGGTTCACAGAATGTGGTGGGCAGAAGATGGGGCAGAACGGTTACCTGGAAAGTCCAAACCACCCCAGGCCTTATCCCCACCAGCAGGTACATCCAGAACCACGTCATCCTGCTGAACTCACTCACAAACTGCCAGAGCCAGGACGGTGACAGTTTGTTTTGTCACTAATCTTGTGTTTTCAGCTGTGCATATGGTACATATCCGTCGAAGAAGGTCACGTCATCACACTGAGCTTCAGAAACTTCAGTCTGGAGACTCAGGATGTGTGTGAGTTTGACTACGTGGAGGTCCACGACAGCATCAGCACCGGAGCTGGAAGAGTCCTGGGCCGGTGAGGCCTGCCAGTCTTTACACATGAACATTTTTAACTCTATTTTTAGCAAGTTCAATGAATAAATGTGTTTATTTCAGACATGTGAGAAAAAAAACAAACACAAAAACAAATCAAACTATACAAAACATCAACAAAACAAAAATAACAAAACAAAGCAAAATCTAATAACCCAACATATCCGAAAAGGAGTAGGACAGAGCATAAGCTTTACTCCTAAATCTTCCATGTTTTAATTTTAATTCCCCTCTCCAGTAACAAGCCCCATCTCTGTTAAAAAAAAACCATTTAGACGATTACTGCAGCTTTATTAATCATGTTACTTGTTAACAGTTAGGTCATATTATTCCTCCCAATGCCACATTTTGATGTATAGTGAAGTGAAGAGGTGATAATAGCATAGATTCTAGATCGGACTCAGGTCTGGGTCGCACCAATAGGTTGATATTGTTTCCTCTTCGATGTTTCTCATCACTGTCTTGTTGGAAGGTCCGATGCAGCTGAAGGCCACATATTTCTGCAGACTAATTGAAGTTTTCCAAACTCTTTGTGTTGTCGTCTTTACTCACGATGCCCACTGGCTGAACATTCCCAGCGCCGTGCTGGACCACGGGGAGCGAGTTCTTACATCCAGACAAGTCCAGTTTCTTTTCATCTGACCACAGAACAGATGATTGAGAGCTTTCTTGTTTGATTTTTGGTTTTTGCAAAGGCTAGGCGAGCTTTTATTTGCCTGTCTGTGAGAAGTGGAGTCCGTCTGGTGAGCATTCATGGAGATCAGCCCTGTTCAGTGTCGGTTTGGAGAGGCTGCGCTCAGAGCTGCTCAGCTTCATCAGTACAGTCTTCTTCTTGGGGCCACTTTAGGTTTCCTTCCACATCCTTTGAGATTGTTCACTGTGTGGAATTCCTTGTACTTTTAGATTATGCTTTGCATTATAGTTACTTAAAAACACTTGGATATGACTTTATAGTCTTCCAATATGTTGTGTGCAGCCACAATAAACAAGTCTCTCTCAGTAATGGACCCTTTAGTTTTATCCACGACTTGCCAGTGACTAAGGGACGACAGAACTACGACTGTTCTACATTTATACTGTATAAGAGCATAGTTCAAATTCATCAAAAGCATCTGTCTTATTCTCCCTTTTGTCATTTCCAGTCAGAAAAAAACATATTTGTCAGATAAAAATTCACTATCAATCAAAATTTGGCCTAATTTGGCACAACTGTACGTGTTAAATGACGTTAAATAAGGATTTTTTCTTTCTGTGAGTTACAAAACCAGAATTTTCTAAAGCACCTTTTCTTTCCTCTGCCAGGTTCTGTGGTACCACCTTCCCACCGGACCTGACCTCCTCTGGCCCCCACATGACCGTGGTGTTTGTGGCCGATGAGGGAGTGGCCGACAGCGGCTTCAATGCAACATACCAGGCTGTGTCTGTACTGGGCAGTGAGTTTTTACTTTTGCAAAGCTAATTCATACTTAACCAAAGTGGTACTGATGCCCCCTTGTCCCTTTACCTCCTTAATGCCTTTTCCTCACCCTTGTTATAAATATTACCTCTTTCTGACAGGAGAGTGCCTTCAGCAGCAGTGGCTGTGCGACGGATGGAACGACTGCCCTGACGGAGCAGACGAGCACGGATGTGGCAACTCCACCTACCCTCCTTTCAGTGAGTTATCTCTGACCTCAATCAGAGAACGCTGCAGTGTTTGTTTCCTCTGCCATTGAGAAGAAGACACAGGAGAAATTCGCTCTTGAAATCACCTCAGAACAAAAGTCAAAGTGCAAAAACAGAACTGCCAAAATCTCTATTAACACGTCTGGTTGTGTGAATGTCATCTTTTTCCGATGAAGAGTGTAAATGAATGATTTCCTCTCATCATGAAACCAGCTTCATCGTGTGAGTTCATAGAAGTGGAGATGTGTCAGGGCCTCAGCTACAACCTCACCTCATTCCCCAACATCTGGCTGTCCATTGCCGACCAGAGAGAAGCTGCAACACTCCTGCGACAGTATCGGGTAGACGTTACCTTCTAAAACAGTTTCCACAACCAAAGCATCATCTGACAGCTACAGCTTCCAGGTATTTCACCTTACACAGCCTCTTTCTCTTCCTCTTGTCGTCCAGGTTCTGATGGAGCTGGCATGCTTCGAGCCTCTCCAGAGGCTGGTGTGCGGGATGTTTCTCCCCCAGTGCAGCCCTCAGGGAGGCGTTCTCCAGCCCTGCCGCTCAGTCTGCTCCTCGGCTGAGCAGCAGTGCAGCCAAGCCCTGGATCTGTTCTCCTTCAGCTGGCCCTTCAACTGCCACCTTCTACCTGACTCCCAGGACCCCATGGAGTGTTCGCTGCCTTGAAGCTTTGAGCAACAATGAGTTAAAGTTAACACTGTGATAATGTGAGAGGTGATCCTATCCGGTCTGCTCTCAAACTATGTTTTTCCAACAAGGACGTACCAGATTTGCAGCATGGAGCTTCCAGGACTGTGTTGCATCATCACACCTGGAGAGCCGACTAAAGCCAGCAGCTGCACAGCGTCCAAGCAAGAACACAGTCTGTACTGCATGTGCTCAATGTTGTGGACCTGCAGCAACCTCTGAGACACAGTTTTAAAGTAGACGTTAAGAAGATGAAAAGCTTTTGAATTTTCATGTAAAATGATAGTTTTCGATCTCCAACAGGAATCAAATTGCTGTACTGTAAATTGCCTTTTTGCACTATTTATTGCTTTGGTGTCAATCATGTAAAACAACTAACAATACAGAGAGAATAACAAACTTTATTGCATTGTTCTTTCACATTATCCCGATGTGCTTCTATTAGTTCAGTGTTTTTCAACAGTCCAGATTTGATTTAGCATGAGACAACACGAGAAACAGGCAAAGCTTGAGTCACACTGGAACATCACGGAGTCTGTTTGGCTGTGCTTCGCTTACCTGAACTGATAAACTGCAACAGACACGAGCCGCGTGTGACGGTCACGTGGTGCGAGTTATCTCGGCGACTCACTGATTTAACTTGTAAAAATCATAATTGGTATCTGTTGATACAGAAGAACTGAAAATGAATAAATGGGTTTGTAATATGAACATAAATAAGTGCTCAAGTAAGGATCAGTCAGGTGTATAAAGATACCGGCCCTGTCATTTGACTTCATTCATATCTGTTTCACAAATCAGGTGACCCTAAACTACCAACACCTCCTCCTTATCAGAGACATCAGTGCAGCTGGCCACTATCTTTATACACCCAAACTATTAAACATCTGAAGCTCAGAAAGTGCACAAGTTCCTACTCTGATGAACCCAGAAAGGTAAAGAATTTACCGTCCTGAATAAGAGTTGATCAATGAAAATGTTTTGTGTTCACGCTGATTCCTGATGAGTTTGCTACACAACGTCTGAACGCACATTTGTCACAACAATCCTCGAGTCACTAGTAAAGTACGTGACCGAGCAGCTACGGAGGGACAATGACTTTCAGGGTATTTTCTAAGGCGACTGCAGTCAGGCCCCACACTCGATGTTTCCCGTTACGAAACACTGGAAGCGTGTATCCGTACTTGTCACCTGTGCGAAAGTGTGTGTAGCCACGGTTCTGGGGGTTGCACACATGGGACAAGGACAAGGTGAAGATCTCCTCCACCTGGGAGACAAAAACAAAAACA